GGGGGCAGGCAGAGGTCCCCGGGGCTCCCGAGCCTCTGACTCAGGCTGTGCCGGGCAGCTGCTGTGCTTTCCGGGTGTCCCAGCGTGTCGTCGCTGGGTGTCCCCCCCTCCCTGCAATCTGGGCTGGGAAGGGAAGGGCTGCATCTGTCAAGCCAGATGGGTTACGGGGAGGATGGGTGGCTGGATGGATGGGTGTTCGGGTGACCTAAATATTATCTGCTGGTAGAATTGCCTGGCAGTCTGGGGCTGCCTGCCAGGGTCGGTTGCGACGGTCGGCTCAGGTTGGGGGTACCCGAGGAGTTTAATCAACGCTTGGTGTTTGTTGCAGCCATTGCAGAAACGACAGAGGACCGTGGAGGACTTCAACCAGTTCTGCACCTTTGTGTTGGCCTACGCAGGCTACATCCCCTACCCTGAAGAGGTAAGCGGGCTTGCGGGGTGTTCCTCTGTGAGAAGACTGGTCGCAGACCCAGCTCCCAGTTCTTCAAACGACAGAGGACCGTGGAGGACTTCAACCAGTTCTGCACCTTTGTGTTGGCCTACGCAGGCTACATCCCCTACCCTGAAGAGGTAAGCGGGCTTGCGGGGTGTTCCTCTGTGAGAAGACTGGTCGCAGACCCAGCTCCCAGTTCTTCTCCTAGAGCAGCGTTCTCCATCCCCAGCCCCTTCCTCCTTACTCGGAACGCCTGCGCTGCGGTCTCCCCTGCTAGTCCTGCGTCTCCCCCTCTTGCAGAACCAGCCCTGGACCCACGGAGGCAGCATGAGCCCCCAGAACAGCACAGGGAGCACTCAGGACAGCGATAGCTGGGCCTCGTCCCACTCCTCTGACTGCCAGGTCCTGACGGACGACGGCAGGAGCAGGAACGCCGTGGCGCAGGGGGCCGAGGACGGAAGCCCGCTGGATCTGCCCTGCCTTCCCCACCAGCTTCTATGATGTCCGGCCCCAGCAAACCAAACGGAAGAAACCGGCAGCGAAGAAACTCGTTTTGGAGCAGGAGGTGGAGAAGAAGGTGCCGCTGAGCATGGGAAAGGGCTCTGGGGCAGAGCAGGACGGAGCGAAGGAGCTGGCTGCGCTGGAGGGACAGGTGCCACCCGTGAAAGAGGAGCTCTTGGAGCCTTCCCTCAACCCGGCTGGGGACCCCCAGCCCAACTCCCTCCTGGAGGAGCTGATGAAGGAGGAGAAGGACTGGACGCGTGGAGCACAGGGGACCGAGAAGCCGGCAGGAGATGATCCTCAGCTGAAGGAGCACGACCCCTGCTCTGGAGGGAGGAAAAGCCCCAGTTCTTGTAGTACCTTGGACCAAAGCGAAGGGGAAGATGCAAGCCGAGGTGAGTGTGCGAGGGAGGGTGGAGGGCCCTGCTATGCTGCGGCCAGTGCCGAATATTGGCCCTCCCTCGCTGGAGTCCCCCGTGCTGGCTGCAGGGAGGGCTTGTCGACAGCCCAAGCCTCTCCCAGGGGTGCCTTGGGGACCTGGGAGGACCGAAGAGCAGAGGGCAGGGAGCTGGCCTGCCCTGTGGAAGCTCTGTTCCGCAGAGTGAGCGGTACAGACTTGGCGCGTGTCTGAAGTGGGCTGTCAAGTTGCCTTTTTCAACAGTCTTTTTTTTTTTTCTCTTTTTTTTTTTTCTTCTTTTGTTTTCTTTATTTTTTTTCCTCCTTTCTGCCCCCGGCTGGTCTGGCCACAGCCGGACCTGCAGCTAGTTAAGATGGTTTCTGACTGGTGCCTCTTCCCCTGACCAGACGACGACGCCTGGGATCTGATCACCTGCTTCTGCCTGAAGCCCTTCGCAGGGCGGCCCATGATCGAATGCAGCGAATGTGCTACCTGGATCCACCTCTCCTGTGCCAAGATCCGCAAATCCAACGTGCCTGAGGTTTTCATCTGCCAGCGATGCCGCGACGCCAAGCAGGAGATTCGCCGCTCGAACCGAGCTCGGACGGTGCCCCGCAAGCGCTTCTGTGACTGAGGCTCCTCCAGAGCAGGGAGGCCGGGGGTCCCCGTCCTGAACCGAAGGCTGTAGCCCGGTTTGGCTAGACAATCAATGCACAGTAACAGCAGGGGAGGGGCTGGGCTGTCCCCCTTGCACTTCTGGCTCCTGGAAGCTGCCACACGTGTCCTCCCTGGGCATGGCGTTGGCCACGGAGCTCGGTTACCCCAGAGGTGTGGGGGGGAGAGGAGGGTGGTCTGGCTGCACACTAGGTCGCTCGGAAACACCTCTATCCTCGCACAAAGCTGGCTCAGTGCCTTTCCCCCGGGGCGGCCGAGGAGAACCTAGTCCTAGTAGTTTTTCTGTGGTGTGGTGGAAGCTTAACACTTATCCCAAGATGTGACTCCCCTTCCTCCTTTTTCCTCACCGTTTTCCTTTCCTTGCCTCAGACCTGCGGGTGGGCTGCGATGGCAAAGCCTCGGTGACCCAGGTTCTCCTCCAGCAAGCAGGTGCAGCCGAGGTGAGCTCCATCCACGCAGCATGCTGCCCTCCGGGGTGGGGGGAAGGGACATCGGTCCTCCTCATGCCCGAAGCGGGCTGGGGCTCTGCATCTCAGGGGGGCATCAGTGGAGCCGTCCATCCCTGGCTCCTCGGCCTTGTAGGCTGCGCAGGTGAAGTCCTTCCCCTGGCCCGTGGTGCTCCTGGTTTGGTTTGCTGTGCCTGCGGCCCCGTTGGGTCAGGAGCAGCAGAGGCATCCTGTAGCAGGTGATTACAAAGGCTGTGCTTGCCGAGCAGCCCTCCTTGGTTCACGTTCTCCAGTTGCACTGAGGTCTCCTGTGTGAAGGGGAGCGAGGTTTCTGGCCTGGAGACTGAGGTTACCCTCAGAGCTGGCTGTGGCAGGGCTGGGAGCCCTTCAGAAGGGGAGCAGGGGAGTGCTCCAGTTAGCTTTCCACATTTTCACTTCCAGTTAAAACCAACTGAAGCTTGTACCCTATGGCCGTCTGTCTGCGGGGCTGTCTGGTGGAGCGTCTGCTTCCGCACCAGCTGGGTGTTGAGACCTGAGCTCGGACGGAGCTGGGAGGCCCTTGCTTCCCAGCACTCCCTCCATCACACAGCTTGGGGTTTTTTCCTGCACTTGTAGAGTGAAACCTAATGACTTGTCACGAGTGGGCCCTGAGCCCCTTCTGCTATGCAACTGCTGCTCCAGAGACACAGGTTGTGCCCTCTCCAGGCCCCTGGTTAAGTTTGGCAGTGGAAGGCTTTTACTCCTCCGTGTCCCCTGTGCACGGAGTGTGTGTATGTGTGTGTGATCTCCCGGGGCCCCGCGTGCACCAACTGTTGGATCCCACCTACTCCTCACAGCCCCTCCAAAGAGCCTGGCCCCACGTGCCTTCTGCACTTTCCCGGGGGACGCAGACCCCGATCCTGTCCTGGTGACGCTCAGCTCGGCCCCCAGCACGCCGCTGCCCACAGCGGGGAGTGGGACAGCCCCGACGACTACATTTCTTAACTGGGTTCTTTCCTACTTGCACATCTGGTTACTGTGGGACCACAGCTGGGGGAGGGTGGGGGGCAGCCCCTGTCGCTCAGCAGCCCCCAGGCTCGTCCCTGTGCCTCTCTCCTCCTGTGGAAAGCCTGGGCCCCAAAAGTGCTTTATGTTTTTATAGTTACTTTGTATTGATATGTAAAATAGCAAATTCTGGTCCTTGCCCTGTGGAGTGTGGCTGGAGTCTTATGTATATAATAAAGTACTTTTGCCATAACGGTGGTGGCTTTGGCATGGTTCGGTGGCCTTGGGTCTCACATCCCTCTGGGACCCAAGTGCTCCCCTTCTGCTGCGGCTGGGGGGGGGCGCCGCGGGGGGGTCGGAAGGCTTTTACCCCTCCGTGTCCCCTGTGCACGGAGTGTGTGTATGTGTGTGTGATCTCCCGGGGCCCCGCGTGCACCAACTGTTGGATCCCACCTACTCCTCACAGCCCCTCCAAAGAGCCTGGCCCCACGTGCCTTCTGCACTTTCCCGGGGGACGCAGACCCCGATCCTGTCCTGGTGACGCTCAGCTCGGCCCCCAGCACGCCGCTGCCCACAGCGGGGAGTGGGACAGCCCCGACGACTACATTTCTTAACTGGGTTCTTTCCTACTTGCACATCTGGTTACTGTGGGACCACAGCTGGGGGAGGGTGGGGGGCAGCCCCTGTCGCTCAGCAGCCCCCAGGCTCGTCCCTGTGCCTCTCTCCTCCTGTGGAAAGCCTGGGCCCCAAAAGTGCTTTATGTTTTTATAGTTACTTTGTATTGATATGTAAAATAGCAAATTCTGGTCCTTGCCCTGTGGAGTGTGGCTGGAGTCTTATGTATATAATAAAGTACTTTTGCCATAACGGTGGTGGCTTTGGCATGGTTCGGTGGCCTTGGGTCTCACATCCCTCTGGGACCCAAGTGCTCCCCTTCTGCTGCGGCTGGGAGGGGGCCCGGTGTGGGGATCCCACTCAGCCCTGCTCCCCCCCCACCAGGTAAACACCGAGCTGAACAAACAACAGGGAACAAGCAAGCCAGTGTATCTTGTATTTAATAGAACAACGACCACCTCCCCGCGCTGGTGTGGCGCACGGGGATGCTCCACAGGAAGGTCCTCGGGCTGGGGGACAGCCTCCTCGCCAGGTACCATCTTCCCGAGGCTGCAGCCAGCTGGTCGTGAGCATCACGGGTCACTCCAAAGAAGCTGCAGGCCCGATGGCTCGGGGAGGAAGGGTGTCCACGCGCCCTCGCTGAGGCTTAAGGCACATCACCATTTAGCTCAAAAAGCTGTGTTTTGCTCTTGGGCTCTGACCAGCTTTCCCTGGCTCTGTCTCCACGACGGAGAGGAGTTACAATTCAGTCCTGACAGCAGTTGAGGTGCCAGAGGATCCAGTTTTCTCCACAAAGTCAGTCTGTCATTCCAGCACAGAGACATCACTGGCTTCCCCTGCAGATCCGGAGGCGTGCCAGCGTCCCTCGGGCAGAGATGTCGGGTCAAACGGGGGACAGGACAAGAAGGCACTAGGGGCTGAGCTGGCTGGGCTGGGAAGGGCCAGGAAGAAGGCCCTGTTTGTGGGGACCCCTACCAAAGCACGGTCCTACTGGTGCAACATTTCAGTCCCGAGGCAGTGGCACTGGGGCAGAGGCAGTGAATGGTCCAAGAACAGCAGCGAAACCGGACATAATTTCTGCGCTAGGGGCCAAAGCTGGGTTTGTGCGGCCAAGCGAGCATCCAGGCGAGCAAGGCGGGGTGGGGGGTCTACTCCTCCTTGGCCCAGACAGAGCCACGTGCCTTCTCCTCCAGGTGGGGAATCACAGCCTCCATGTAGAACTTCTCCAGCTTGGGCACCGTCTGCCCCCAGAACTCGGCGTCGAACTCCACGGGGACCACAGCCGTCTCCTTGGTGGTGTGGACCACGAAGTCGGCCTGCTGGAAGCCGGCGGCCGCCAGCTGGCACTGGACCTGGGTGAAGTAGGCATGATCCTTCTTCAGGGCGTAGGAATCCCCATCCACCTCCAGGCAGAAGTCCTTGTCCTTGCAGGCCTCGCGCACCGTCCTGTTCCTGTGCTTGTAGGGACACTTCACCTCCAGCAGCCCCAGGGCCTTCCCTGTGGCCGCCTCCTTGATGACTCCGTCCGGGCTGGCGGCGATCCACTTCTTGTCCCGGTGAATGAAGAGGCCGCCGTCCTCCACCTGCACCGGCTTTCCCCCCCCCC